GTCCTTCCCAAAGCCTTGTCTCAGTAGGAGCGTTTGTCTTTTTTTTTTTTTTTTTAATATTTTTATTTATTTCTAGGAGAGAGAGACAGCGTAAGCAGGGGAGGGTCAGAGAGAGAGGGAGACACAGACTCCGAAATAGGCTCCAGGCTCTGAGCTGGCAGTCAGCACAGAGCCCGATGCGGGGCCCGAACCCACGAACTGCGAGATCGTGACCTAAGCGAAAGTCGGACGCTTAACCGACTAAGCCACCCAGGCGCCCCATGGAGCGTTTGTCTTAATGCCTCGCGCATCTGTTGCAAAAGCACTGACTGGCTGACAGGCTCACTCTTTTGTGAATTATCCCTTCCTCTGTCCCCGATAAATCAGGTCAGGCCTGACCAGGTGGGCACATCCTTGCAGCAGCGGCTGCCCATGAGCTGCTACACGGAACTGTTTGGCTGAGCCTAGATCGAATCGTGGAACCGTCAGCAAATAAATTGTTGTGCCGCCTATTAAATTTCAGGGCGGTTTGTGTTGAAGCAATAAATATTTGATAGAGTAAAGTACAAAATGAAACTTAAAAAAGTGATTGTAATTGAAAAGCGTTAGTTTCCTGCTATAACGGAGCGTCTGGGAATTCCCTAGAACAGCACAAGAGGGGTCAAGGATGCTGGCCAGAGAGCTGGCCCCCGGGGAACGCTTTTCACTGCTTTGAACTGTAACTACAGATGCATGGACATCCCGTGATGTGGGGTGCCCGGGTGGGGACTCCCAGTGGGCTCCGGGATGACAGGCTTCAGGATTTGCTTTTAAGTTTATTTATTTTGAGGTGGGGAGGGAAAGAGAGGGAAAGAGAGAATCTCAAGCTGGCTCCACACTGTCAGCATAGAGCCCAACGCAGGGCTCACACTCACGAATCATGAGATCGTGACCTGAGCCAAAATTGAGTCGGATGCTTACCCGACTGAGCCACCTAGGATTTAGGAGTTTGCCCACAGCTCAAGCCCCAACCTGCAAGGCAATTCTAGAAGCACTTCAATGGTTGTGTTGCCCAGTCACCGGGCTTGCTCTGGTCTCCCCATCCTGATGGAGCTTTACAGGTTGTAAACCACTTGCCTTTATTTTATGTTATCCTCTGGATGCCGTAAAGCTCTCTATGGACCATTTTTTATAGAAAGATCGTGTCTGGAAAGAATATGAGCCCCCTCCAAGGCCACGGAGCCCACCAGTACCCACATACCTCCCTGGATGGCCAGTTGAGGGAGACAGTCACATCTGATGTTCAGATGTTCATGGCCCGGCTTCCTAGGCTCTGATGACCTCACGCCAGCCCTCACCTCACCGTACTGAGGTGGCACTTAACTGTTGGTGTTTCCCCACTGATGGCAATCCTCCTGACAGCAGGGACTGTCTTCACTCAGTGTCCCTCACCTGGCACCACGCCTGGCTAGGTTAGGAGCCCGGATGGTGTTTGAATATCAGTGTGGACATCACCACCATCCTCATGTGTCCTGCCTTCTAGAAGCCTTCTCCCTGCCCCCCCTCCCCCCATGGATGGTGACAGTGTGGCATTCACTGCCTTAACATGTCCAAGCCTCTCTCCCCACAGCTGTAAAATGGGAATGATGGGGAGGGAGATCTCTTAGCCCAGAGTACAGCACAGAGTAGACAATAAATAACATCTGTAAATGTCTGTGGTGAGATGATTCACTCTGGGACATGATTTAAGGGTTATACATTTGGTCTCAAATGGCAAGGGGTCACCATCACCCTCTTTTGGCCAGGTGGGATGTCTGCACCTCCTCCACTCTTTCCCCAACCTGTGGAATTACACTCCCCACCCCATCCCACCTACCCCAAGCACCTGCAGCGGGTGCCTTCCTGGGCTTTGGGAACGTGGCCGGAGTCCACACATCTGAGTTATGCAGGTGACACACTGCGTACCTTGTGGCTGCTCAGGGGACATTAGCCCCTGCAGCGGCCACTGACACCTGTCTCTCCTCCCTGTCTCCAGCCTCAGTCTCCCCCTCTAACAGGGCGGCTACACAGCCACCCCACGGGGCACTGAGGTAGAGTTCAAAGTGTGTCCCCTCTCATCATCTCTGAGACTGTTCTTAGAAAATACCCACAGGGTTCCTTCCCGAGAACAATACCATTGTCCACGGGCCTAGATGGAAGGCTCCAGGAAGGCCCTCACATTCCATGGCCCCGGGCACCATCAGAGCACAAGTCCAGGGGAGAGACAGTGCCATCCTCATCTGCCCCAAAGGGCTGGTGACAAGACCAGTGTTGGGAATCCAGGTGCGGTCCCTCTTCTGCCAGCAAGTGGCTGTGTGACCTTAACCTGTGACAGGGAGCACCTGGATGGGTTAGTAGGTGGGACTTGCGGATCTTGACCTTGGAGTGGTAGGTTCGAAACCCACCTTGGGTGTAGAGAAGTAAGGGAGGGAGGAAGGGAGGAAAGGACGGACCTGGGACCTGTGACTGGCAAATAGGGGAAAAGCACTGAGGCAGGAGGGTCTGTCTGGACACCTGGGGTCAGGACTGAGGGAGAACCGCTCCCCTAAGGGCGGAGACATCAGAGGATGTCATCCAGCCTTCATCCGGAGCTCCGATGACAGAGGTCCACCCAGGAGCGGGGGCGTGGGCCGTTCTGCGGCCCTCCTTCGGAGAAGCCGGAAGCCAGTTCCACCAGTGGGGGTGGGGAAGGGGAGGGTGCTCCCCCGGTAGTGAGTGGGTGCGAGCACGTGTGGGTGCGCGTGCCTCCCTCAGGGCAGGGGCTCGGCACGCCCCCCTGCTTCCCAGCAGCCTTCCCTCTGCGTGAAGGCTCACACCCCGTGGGCCCAGCGCTGGCAGCCAGGTAGTGTTTAGGAAGACCAGAGCCCCCCCGCCCTCACCCCGCATCCCTCCCTGACCCAGAGTGCCCCCAAACTGGCCCCGCACGCGCACCTTTCAGACTTTGTAGCTGTTTTTATTATTAATATTATCTTTTCCTTTAAGCATCCCTTTAAGGGTGAAATGAAATCCAACCATTTACAGAGAAAATGATTTCAGAATGTACATATTGATTTTCCCTTACAAAAAAAATAATACTATTATCATTGGCGTCCTTAAATTATACATTTCCCAGGGCCCTGCCTTCTGCTTGGGGAAGTCCTGTCTCCCCTCCCCCACTGTCACCTTTGTCCCCAAAGCCCTCCCACTCCTGCCCCTGGGAACCGACATGACCTGTGGGCCAGCTGAGCCTCACGAGCCTAGAGGTCATAGGGCCAAGTGGTTCCCAGGGAAAGACACCTGGTTATGGCGACAGGGCCAGCAGTGTACTGGCTCCCACACATTCACAGTTTGGCTTCCTTTCATAATGGAGGAGTGGCCCAGGGCTCCCCTGCCCACCCCCCAAGAATTCCCAGTGTATGAATGTGAGTATACGTGAAACTCTTCAACCCCATGACTCAGCCCCACCCCACACCCCTCTGATGGCTGCTTTCTCCACCCAACGGTCAGGTCTCCATTTGGCAGTGACCACGAACAGGGTTCTGGGTCTAAGAGGGAAGGTGGGGGCTGGCAGAGCTGAGCTCCTCCCCTCTTCCTTCTCCCGCCCTGGAGCTGGTGAACTGGAGGCCAGAGACCCCTGCCAGCCTGGGGAGGGGGCATCCCCATAGCAGCCGAGGGTACCAGGGGCATGAAGTGAGGGAGCCCTCCAGGAGGGAGGCCCTGCGCTGAGACTCAGGCACGATTCAGGAGCCCCCCGCCTGGGTTGGACCAGAGCCACAGGCACATCCTCACCTCTTTTGCCACTTCTCAGATCCAAGAGGGATTGGGGGGCTGCTATAACTCCAAAGGAGGGTTTCCCTCGGGGCACCCCAGAGACTTCCCTGGGGTGGGAGAGTGGAAGCCACCAGGCCCCTCCACCTGCTTCCTGCTTGCCAGCTCTGCGGCCGGCTCCTCAGACCACACCTGAGCCAGACATTTCTCTGGTAGAAGAGACACCCTCCCCTCCTGGCCCATCAGGAAACCCCAAGACCCCCGGAGAAAGTCCTGGCTGGAGGCTAGGTGGCATGGGACGGAAGGACATGGTTGGGATCAGAACAGGCTGGGGAGGTAGTGAGCTCTCAGCTGTTCAGCCCTCAGGTCAGGAGGATTCTCATTCCTTGGACTGAAAGACAGACAGACAGACAGACCCCGCATCCCCTTGAGCCTTGCTTTCTAGGCTCCCCAAGGGCTTTGTGCCTCAGTCACTTTGGGGGAGTTGTAAGGAGCCCGGGCCACAGGCCCCAGGTCCTAGGGAAGGGGAGGCCTGGGCCCTGCCCCCACACCCATACAGAAGCATATATTTACAAGGACACCCCAATACAGACACATACAGGTACACACCAAGCATGCACACATGCCCATAAATACACACACGCACACACAAACATGTACCGTCCACAGGCAGGCTCGCATCCTGGCATCGTTGGGTGAACATCTGTGGGGGCCTCAGGAGGGCGGTGTCTCACCCCTCCTTCAACCGCAGGCTCTCACTGCCCCCCAGCTTTGGGTTGGCAGTGGACGGGGGCAGGACAGGTGCGTCTAAGAGCTCTGAACTTGAGAGGAGGAGCCTAGGACTGCGTTCGTCATTCTGCTGCTCTCTCCCCATCCCCCTCCCTCTGTGCCAAAGATGCTCCTGGTCTCCATTCTCCTCCTTCCTTTACTGAGGGAACTCTGAAGCTGAGGCTGGGCATGTGGCTGAAGACTACCTTTCCCAGCGTCCCTTGGAGCTGCTTGTGACCACGTGACTAAGACCTGGCCTGTGAGATGCGATCAGAAGTGACCGGCCATTCTGGCTCATGCCCTTAACAGGAAAGGACATGTGCTTCTCTTGCCATTCTCTGCAGCTCCCAGGCTGGGACGCACACGCGAGGGTGGGAGCCGAAGCCACCACTCTGTCCAGAATTGGAAAGTGTGTATAAAGGAAAGCAGGGCTGCTCTACTGGATCTGGACCATCTCCCTCCAGACAGTTAAGCCAGAAACAAGCTTGTCTTGCTTAAACCACTGTATTTGGGGGCCTCTTAATGACAGCAGCTTGGAATCTAACCAATGCCTCCCCTGCCCCCGTGAGATAAACTAAGGGGAATGAGATGACGTACAACCAGCCTTAAAGTCCTTCCTGGTCCCAGGCAGCCTCGTGGGTGCTTCCTGGCTCTGGCCAGCCCCAAGGCGGGGACACAAGGGTGACTCCACCAGAAACGGTGGACAGCTGGGGCTGTGGGGTCCAGTGGGAAGAGGTGATGGGAAGGACCTCTGCCTCCCCCGGTCCCCCTTCCAGGCCTGACCTGTGAGGCTGGCTGATGGCCCAGCTTCTGCCTCCCATCCCACCCTGAGAGCCGGACTCTCGGCCTTACGAGGGCTGAGTGGGCAGCCCACAGGACAACAAAGAAAAAGAAAGAAGGTCAAGGCCAGGTTTTGAACCAAAAGGAAGACTCCCCGGGCTTCCGCAGACTCCGGGCTCCCCTACCACGGGTGCTATCCAGCGCAGGGGTGCCCTGCGGGGCAGGGGGCAGAGCTCTCTGCTCCCTCTGGCTCAGCTCTTCTGAGAACTTCCTCCCAGCCGAGTGCTGCTTTACACCCCCTCCCACCTTGGTGTCCCCTCTTCCTCCTGGACCCCAAATGCACCTGTGGACAGAGCCCCAGGCCCTCCTGGCATGCCCACTTCCCCGCTGCAGGTCCAAAGAAAGCCCCAGGAGGCCAAATGGCAGGTTTCTCCCTGGCGGGGGCCGCAGCTCCCACAGAGCGGGCCTGGAGAGCTCGTGCCGCAGCCTCCCTTCCCCACCCCTGCCCGCCCTCCCCTGCTACCCAGGAACCATCATGCACTCTCCGCTGGCACCTCCCGGCCACAGCACTCCTGGTGGACCGAAGGGCTGGACTTCCCTCTCCTGATGAGGAAGGATGTTTTGTGAGCTCACAGGCCTGACCCTCGGTTCCCAAGGGCTCGAGGAGGGAAGGCTCCTCCACCCATCCCCACTCCCGGTCCTTTCAGGAGCCAGCCGGCAGGCAGAGGGGGGCAGGGAAATAACGGGAGCGGCCGCCACCCCCACCTGCCACCGGCTCTGGAAGGTCACGCAGCCTTAGCCTTCGACCACATCCAATTTGCCCCTGGCAGGGGCCCTTCCCTCCGGCCCCCTGTTCCGCCGCCCACCTTCCGCTGTGCTCTTGGGCTCCTGGTAGGGGTTATCCAGCAGGTAGCGGAACTGCGCGTAGTTGTTGAGCAGGTACTTGGGGGCATACATGTGTTCACTGGGGTCCGCCGGCGGGTACTCCTGCTGCGTGCCGTCAAACCAGCCCCCGGTGCGGATCAGGCTCCGGATGTAATTGAGGTCCCGTTTGTCCTCGTAGTCACCCCAGCGGGGGAAGTCGCCGTTCTGGGCGGACACGAGCTTGAAGTAGATGCCCTCGGGCGTGAAGCACCAGGAGCAGTGCCAGCCGGCGAAGTGCAGGGGGCTGCCCAGCGACCACTGCACCAGGATGTGGCCGGTGCGGTTCTCGTACTGGCGGAAGTTGGGCATGGTGTAGTACTGGCGGCGGCGCAGGCGGATGCCGTCCAGCCCGTACACCGTCTGCAGCATGTCCACCGTGCAGCCCGACACCACCTCCAGGGTGCCCGGCTGCTTCCAGAAGAAGCCGTACAGCGACTTGCGCATGTGGAAGGCGAAGGGCTCCGTCCAGCCGTCGTAGAGCTTGAGGAAGAGCACGCCGTCGCGCGCCGGGATCTCGTCGGCGTCGTCGATGATGAAGACGTCGTCGGGCCGCAGGTTGCGCAGGCGCGACACGCCGTCCTGCGTCAGGAACGTGCGCAGGTAGTCGTCGGCGATCCAGCCGTCCTGCCGCCCGCCCAGCGGGAAGTGGTCCAGGAAGACGTAGAGCACCTTGTGCCGGATGTACTCGAAGGTGCCGTTGGTCAGCATCTCGCGGAACTTGAGCGGCCGCGGCTCCCCGTAGGCCGTGAAGTTGGACTCGCACACCACGAAGGCGTCCACCACGTCGCCCAGCTCGTGGAAGCGGACGTCCAGTAGGTCGAACTCGTGGTTGACGTTGATGGCGTTGATGACCCGCCGCGGCACCTCCCGGGGCACCAGGCGCTCCTTGGTGGGCAGGTTGGAGTACTGCACCACGGTGGGCACGCCGCAGCTGGGCCCGTGCCAGCCCGGGAGGCACACGCACTCCACCCACTTGCGCCGCGCGCCGCGGGCCCCCGGGCGCTCCCGGGCGCTCAGCAGGTGCCGGGCGGGGCCCCGGGCCGAGGAGCCGTCGGCCCCCTCGGCCTTCTCCTCGGGCCGCCCCGAGGGGGGCTTCTCCAGCATCTTGGTGCCCGGTTTAAAGCACACACCTCCAGCCTTGGTGCGGACGAAATACTCAGTGGTGTCCTCGGGCAGCACGAAGTCCAGCCGGTGGAGTTCCTCGGTGGCCTTGCTTGGCGACAGCGGCTGGAGCAGGGGCGAGTGGGAATAGAGCGGCGTTCGCAGCAGGTCCGGGCTGCCCGGCTCCGGGCTGGCCTGGGGTGTGACGGGGGCATTGTTCCAGAAGAAGCTGGACACGAGGTTCGGGCTGAGGGAGGCCAGTTCTCGGGGGAAGGTGACATAGGACAGGGTCTTAAAGAAGTGCAGGAAGGAGATGAGGCACAGGCCGGCCATACAGAACATGAGAAAGAGCTTGTAGCGTCTCATCTTCATCCTGCAGTGAACAGGGAGAGACGGGTCAGGGCGTCTGCAGACCAGGGTGAGGAGAGCCAGATGCCCCTCTCCTTAGGAAGGGAGCCTGAGGAGGCCTTTGCTGTCACCAAATGTCCTGGCCAGTGCCTGGTGCCCTTGCATGAAGTCACCCCCTGTCCCCCAGGAGTCGAGACCGTGAGTCCTACTCACTGTACCAAGTACCTCCGGGAGCCCCGGCATCAAGGAAATTCCCCTCCAGGCTCAGGACCTCTTCCCTGCTCGCTCCGCCCTTCCCCCCAGAGACTGCTAGGTCAAAGCCCCGCTCCCCCCACCCCCTGCGCTGCAGTCTGATCTTCCACCCGGCCTGCCCACCCAGACCGGACCAGCTGCATTGCCAGGCTTTGCTCCAGGAATAACACGCAGCCTGGGAGAAGCCCGACCCTGTGGTGCTGAACCTGCCCCAGGGGGGTCCCAGGCCCCAAGGGAGGGAGAGAGTATGGGCTGCTGGCTGCCAACTCGGGTCCCCTTCCCGCACTGCCTAGGGTGCTGCTCTCTTTTTTAATTTTGGTGTGGATGTTGACACATCCAATTCCTTTTCACTGAAAAATAATTCACAGGCCTCAAGGGAACACATTTAACTCTAACACACTTAAAAGAGGGAGTACCGGTTTCCCTTTATTACCCCTTTACTAGACGGGTCTCCCCACACGAACAGTCCGACCTGTCTGCAGCGTGTTGCTGGCTTCTATATGTAATATTTCTGTTCTTGGTTTCATATTTTTCATAATGGTGCCATACTGGGCACTAAGTACGCTCAAGTTGTTTTCCCCAATCAATGATAGATTTAACAGATTTTCATATCAGTAGTAATCAATCTACCATTTCCTTTTAAATCCCACATAATATTTGAATGAATATTCAAATGAATGAATCACTCTCTATTCATAAGTGAGTCGTGGCTATCATCCTCAATTCATTTATGCAGTTTGATTTATCGATTCATCTATTTTTATTTACTTATTTATTTTGGAGAGAGAGCACGAGCAGCGGAGAGGGGCAGGGCGGCAGTGGGGGTGAGAAAGAAAGAGAATCTTAAGCAGGCTCCTTCCTCAGTCGGGACTCTATCCCATGACCCTGGGATCGTGACCTGAGCCTAAATCAAGAGTCAGACGCTTAACCGACTGAGCCACCCAGGTGCCCCAACTTTATCAGTTAGTTTATGGCTGTGGAATGGACAGCCTTGTATGGTTTTTTTACAATTAAAAAAAAAATTTTAAACATCTTTTCAATTTTAAGAGAGAGATACAGTGCAAGTGGGGGAGGGGCGGAGAGAGAGGGAGACACAGAATCCGAAGCAGGCTCTAGGCTCTGAGCTGTCAGCACAGAGCCCGACGCGGGGCTGGAACTCACGAGCAGTGAGATCATGACCCGAGCTGAAATCAGACACTTTACCGACTGAGCCACCCAGGCGCCCCAATTTTATCAATTAGTTGATGGCTGTGGAACGAACAGCCTTGTATATTGTTTTTTTACAATTTAAGTATGTAATTGTAATTTGTAATGTCCTAACCCTCCTCACTCGGTCTCCCCTAGCGCTAATGTCAGATATAACGGTACATCTGTCATAACTAAAAAATGGGAATGGCCACATTACTATTAACTAAAGTCCACACTTTATTCAGATGTGCTATTTATCTCATGAATGAACCTGTGTAGCGAGAGTATTTCTGACTATAACCATCCAGCTCGCTTTGTCGTGGGGCCCAGGGGGGCGGGCAGGCGGGCTGGCGGCTCCACCCATTTGGCCAAGTAGGACCAATGACTTGGTTGGATGACCTACTTACTAGTCTTGAGTCTCGGGAGGGGCTGGGACAGAAACCGGCCTTTGGCATCTGGAGTCTTCATTTCCCCTTCCCGTAGATCCCTATGAGTGAGACGCTGCCCTTCCACCTAGAACATTCTTTCCCTTAAAATGTTCCTTTCTGGGGCTTCTCTTTCCTTCTCCGGGTCATTTGGGTGCTTTCCTGCCCTCCACTTCCTAACTCTGAAGACAGCAGGGTAGAGTGGAAAGAGGCACACTTGGCTTCAAACTTCTGTGACCTTAAGCAAGGCGCCTCAGTTTCTACACCTGTGAAATGGGTACAGTGTTCCTGGTGGGCAGCAGGTGCTCAATAAACTTCCATCCTTTCAATGCTGGAAGATTCCAACATTAATTTTCTCTAAGCTACATGGTCATAAGGTACAGAATCATGACATGTTTGACCTAGAGAACATTTCAAGAATCATTTCCTCCAATCCTTTAATTTTACAGAGGAGGAAACCAGGACCTAGGGGGCTTCAGGGACCTGTTTGAGGTTACAAAGCTGGGGCAGGAACCCGGGTGGCTTGACTCCTGTGCTACTTCCCGGCCTCACCTCAAACTAGTGAGGAACAGTGGGGTCACCAGTCCCGCTGGTCAGGGTACTTCTGCTGTCAAGTGCAAGGGAACCCGTGTCCTCTAGTCTGAAGGCCTGGCGCTCCTGGAGCCTGCCCAGGGGTGTGGCCGGCACAGCCGACTGCAGACGGTCAGGCATGACAATCAGGGCTGGGGGCCTGACCTCTGCTAAATGTAGCTTGTCCGGGGGAGGGGTCTCCACTGGCTTTTGGGAAGGCAGGAGGGAGGGGCTGCCCTTGGCAGTCTTTTGAAGCAGGTCTTCTGGGCTCCTCTCTCCGCCGTGGATTCCAGCTCTGCTCTGGCAAAGTGAGACCAGGTAGGCCAGGCCAGCAGGGTGAGTGGGGGGGCAGAGGGGCGAGGCCTGATACAGGCGGGCAGGCAGGAGTTCCTGGTGTGGTGGACACGGGGCATAAGGCAATGCTGAAGACCAACGGCAGCCCAGCAGCAGCCTCCCCGGTGACCCGCCAGGGGGCGTGGAGGACCCAGTCAGGCAGCCCTGATCCTGGTGGGCTAGTTTCCCCCACTGTCTGTGGGACACCCCCCGATCCTGGCCCCTGTTGGGCTGAGCTGGACCGTGAGCCATGGTGGGCAGGGCCAGGCTGCCACTCAGACCAGTTCCCGTAGGCGAGGTCACACCGACCCAGCTGCCCCTTGGTTCCCTGGCCAGGCCGGCTTTCAGGATCTCATTACACCTGGCCAGATGGGCCCTTTGGAAGACAGACTCATCTGTGCCTGGGATCCCCCTTTCACGGGAGCTTTCAGAGTGCGGCTCCCTTGATAAGGCGGGGCCTGGCTTGCCGCAGGGAATAAGGAACTGAGTGTGGCCCCCTTGTTGCTCTGGCTGCTTAGGAGATTCGAACCACTGGTGCTTGGCCTGGAGCAAGTCTGTGCCTCGCAGACCAGCAAGTCAGCGCCTCGCAGACCAGAATGTCTGGGGCATCTTCGCTTCTGGCTTCACTCTTACTCTTCTTGTCCTGATCCCTTTTTATCTTATCTTCATGTATTTTGCTAAGTGCTCCGAATACATTTTTTTGACTGAGCAGCATATAAACAGGAAACTGAATAAATAAAGCATCGGCACCTGCGGTCTCCTGTAAGTCTCATCCACCCTGGGATGCTACCGAAACCACCTATTTCACAGATGGGGAAACAGACTCAGAAAGATGACAAGGCTTTTCCCAAAGGACATTAAGAAGTCACAGCATCAGGACCTGAACCCAGTTCTGCTCCCAGGCCAGCACCTCTCTCCCTCCTGACAGCCAAGGCTGCATCCCTCCAGGTGGCCCAGTTAAGGAACCAAATTAGGCCCCAGCTGGCAGCATTCCTGCCTCCGTTCGAAAGCTTCACTTAGAAACAACCAGGTAGGGGCGCCTGGGTGGCTTAGTTGGTTAAGCGTCCGACTTTCGCTTAGGTCATGATCTCGCGGTTCGTGGGCTCAAGCCCCGCGTCGGGCTCTGTGCTGACTGCCAGCTCAGAGCCTGGAGCCTGTTTCAGAGTCTGTGTCTCCCTCTCTCTCTGACCCTCCCCTGCTCACGCTGTGTCTCTCTCTCCCTCCTAGAAATAAAAAATAAATAAATAGGGGCGCCTGAGTGGCTTAGTCGGTTAAGCGTCCGACTTTCGCTTAGGTCATGATCTCGCGGTTCGTGGGTTCGAGCCCCGCGTCGGGCTCTGTGCTGACTGCCAGCTCGGAGCCTGGAGCCTGTTTCAGAGTCTGTGACTCCCTCTCTCTCTGACCCTCCCCTGCTCATGCTGTCTCTCTCTCCTAGAAATAAATAAAAACATTAAAAAAAACAACAACAACAACCAGGGATAACAATAAAGCTGGCGGTCACCGACGCTTACAAGCCAGAGACTGTCCCGGGCACATTACACACTTGACCTCACTGGATCCTCTCAACAGGAAGCAGGTGCTGTTGCCATCCCCATATTACAGATGAAGAGACTGAGGACAGAGAGATGATATAACTTGCCCCATGTCACACAATTAGTAGGGGTCAGACTCTGTGGGATCAACCAGTGGTAAACCTGTCCTGAGCCCTCTCCATCTGTCACACTCAACCCAAGCAGGGTGACACTCATGAAGAGCCTACTGGGACCAGCGAAGACAACCCAGTGAATGGAACACGCACCTTCGCGTTTGACCCACACAATACCCCACAGGCTGCTCACCCAACCCATATCACCCATTCACCCAGCAACTGCTTATCCCGAGCCCGTTATGTGCCAGGCACCGTGCGAGGCCCTGAGAACACAGGGGATGAGGCAGACGAGGACTCCCATCTCCAGGCAGCATCCATAGGGGTGAGTAGGGCAAGGGACTGCAATAAACCAGAAATAAATGAGTCAAGTTAATACTTTAGAAAGAGTAGTGCTCTGAAGAAAAAGCAGGGTAAACGATAGGGGGTAGAGTGGCTTCCCTGACAAAGGGTGGTCAGTGCAGGCCTCACTGAGAAGAGGGAGCCTTAAGGAAGAGAAAGACTTGAAGACAAGAGAGCAGGGGGTGAAGGTTCCGGGCAGAAGGAACAGCCAGTGCTCGTGAGGGAGATGGATGCGCCCAGATCACACAGACCCTGGGGCCACAGCAGGAA